CCCCCCCCCCCATTTCTCTCTTTTACCCCTGAAAAGGATCTGATATCAGTCCTGTACAACTAAGCACGTTGTTCAGTAGGTGACTACCTCTCCAGAGTTTATTTTTATTTAAGCCTGCCCCTGCCAGTGGTGTGCTAGAGCCTGCTTATGTTGGCCCACATAAGAGCTGATTGCTACATTTTCAGGAGTTCTGTGAGCCAGTAGACTTTACATTGGTAGTTTGACGTTGGTCATGATGGGAGTATTTGCTCTATAGAAATTGGCAAACACCACAAACAAAGGCTCTCTCATATTCTCTACTGCCATTACCACTACAATGATTGTTAGACCTTCACCAGCATACCACTGGGCCCTCATCTTTCCTTGTCCTTTGTTAAAGAATGTCTGGCAACAGGGATCACTTTGCTGAGAAATTGGCAGGCACAGGGAGTGTCTGAAATCACGCCTGGTGGCCAGTCACCACCTGACAGCTCCACGTTTCTTTCTGGCCCACTGCTCCAGCATGACAAAGGAGCTTCCCAGCCCCATGGAAAACACTTGCACATCTCAGTACTTTGAACAGGCATCTGACATCAGATCTAAATCCATGTTAAAATAAAAGGCTCAGTCAGTATGTATTATAATGACAATGGGCATGGAAATTTGAAATTAGAAAAAAGCAGACTTATTTTGCAGAACTACAGTATTTGTTCCTGACTATGTAAAGGATTATTTTTATATGATATCATAAATCCACAGAATTTTAGAGCTGCAATGAACATAATTTTACAAATGAGAAAAGAGAAAAAGAAGCTGAGACCCTGAGAGGGGAAATGTTGGCCCAACATCACGCATCTCATGATGCATGTATGTCTCTACCCACACAGTTATATTTAGTCACAGAATAGAGGGAATCCAGAACCCTGATGTTAGCCAGACTTTGAATAATGCTTGAATGTTTCCCTTCATTTGAAAATGATTATGTTATGCCACCCTGCCAGCTCCTTCACAGATATAATGATGATACAAATAATAGCTAATTTTTACTAGGTGCTTACTAGGTGACAGGACTTATGTTAAGTGCTTTATATATTAAGTTGAACTACGTATATGAAATTGCCAATATTTGATCTTTTTTTGATCTATCAAATGGTAATTTCTAATAGGTCAATCTAAATATATTCTCTCTAAATATTCACCATTTTTCCATGAAGTGAATAGTATTATCACACCCATTTTACAGATGACAAGACTGAAGCTTTAATTTAAAAATAAATTTTAAAAAGCTTTCTTCCCACAAGTGTTATTCTTATTTATGGGCAATGAACAATGTACTCTTGTGTGCAAATCGATGGCCCTAAGCAATGGAATGTACATAGAACATAAACAATAATACCTAACATATCTTGCCTTTCTCAGTGACCTTGGAAAATTTTCTAATCAATAAATTTCTGTAACATTTAAAGAAATGCTTTTTAAAATGCTATTTATGAATATAAAGCATAGACATTAGAAAATAAGAAATTTGATGTCTGTGCGTTATATATCTGCTGTATCCCACGTGGAAATGTTAGAAACTATAGCTCAGGGCTCCCCAGAATGAATTAATTGTCCTAGAATTTGCATAATGCTTGAATGAAGAAGCTGAGTTATTTTACAACATTGTCTACATGCAGATTATAACCAACAAAATTCTGAATCAAGACCATTTGGTTGTATGTCTATCTGCAAATAATATTGTACAGAATTCACAACCAAACAGTTCAAAAAAAGCAGTTACACTCAGAAATGATCAGTACTACATACATGGGATGATGCTATGTCAAGTGATGAGTCAGGAAAGAAAATTAGTGAAAACTGTAAAATGGGCTTTGAAAAAAATATTTAAACATAAATGACTACTCTTCAAATATGAAACCAGAACTTCTAATGTCCCATTCACAATAGAAAAAAATTGACTGATACCATGTGATTAATCAGCTCTAAATGATGAATTCTCCAAGTTGAAAACTTGGCTATTGGCCCTCCATTAATTCAGTCAACAAATATTTATTAAATATCTACCACAGGGGCCTTGCACATAAGTAATTCCATATTATTCCCAATTGATTGGCTGATTATTATCAGTAAGCATCTGCTTAAGATGAGCATGTCTTTTCACCTCTAAAAAAGAGGCAGTATTATTTCACCTGCAACTTAGAAGTCTAGGAATCCATAGGCTCCATACCCGGCCTGGCCTCTTTCAAGTCTCCATCTCATTGAACACTTCAAAGCCTGGCTCTCAAAAGACCCCCAAACTCATGCCTACACCTACTAAGTCAGACCCCAGCCAAGAATTCGAGTGCCTTTGTCTCTAAGTGACCATCAAGCACCAACGTTATTTCCCCTACCTCCTTGATGATGGAAAAATAATACAATGATAGAGTAAGGAGGCAAACATGCTTTGAAAAATTGCTGAAAAGGGCTATACAAGTGCTACTTCATAGAAACAAGGAAAGAAGAAAGGAATGTTGTAGGTGGTATTTCCAGTCCTTTCATTTTATAAAGAATGAACCTGATGCAGAAGGTAGAGACATTTGCCCAGGCTAACTCACCTAGAGAGAAGTGGAGTTTGGTCTCCCGACCCCTCTTCCAGTGCTTTTTGTACCAAACTACATTGTTATGATTATTCGCGTTGCACTTATTATTATTGATGTTATGGAATATAAGACTATCTTTAGATATATAAATACTGACTTAGCTAAGCAGCTGTAATCTTCTAGATAAGAACTGCTGTTCTGTACTGCAGAACATTTTGTGCATGATAGCCTCCTGGGAAGTTCTCCAAGGGATGAAGAGGCTTACCACTGGGCTTTGCAAATTCTAGACAATTAAATGCCCAAGGACCATTGTTCCCTATGTCAGGTGAGTGATGACCATTGAGACAATTAAAGCTGAATCCATAAAAATGTTGACATGGGACACATCACTTAACCATTCCATTTGCCACATAAAATATTATAATTTAAAAGTCAAACTTAACCTTGCAGGGGAAAGATAAGCTAATGAATAATAAACGTACTCTTTTACAGTCTTTAGAATTGAAATCACCTAATAAAGTTATAACCCATCTCTTGACTTTTCTCCATGCTCCCCTCCAATTGCTCTTACTGTACTTTTTAGGTTGTTATAACAAGTACATCTGTGTTTTCTGTGTTCTTATTTTATTCTCTGTATATCTTCATGAGCCAGCCCAGTCTAACTATAAAATACTGTTTTAAAAAGGGCAAAACAAAGTGCTCACATACCCCATGACGGTCCTCAAAGTATGCCAGGCTGGTTTTGGTTAAAACAAAGAATCGAACTTTAAAGTTCGAAGGAGAAGTTCTTCTCTTTTGTTGGGATTTCTTGATGAGTTGTTCTTCCAGGAGGATAAAGTTGTTCATGATCCAGTCCTTGAAAAGTGATGCACCTTGGGCATCACCCCTCAGCACAACCAGAGGAAACAGCTTCAGGGCAAGGAATGAACTGGAGAGGCAGTTGATCTTCAGAGAGTTGTTCAAAGGCAACTTGCCTCCAATGTTATCTCTCTACCAACATTCAGTCAACATTGCAGAGCTTCTCTTCTGATGTCAAAGCCCACAACCACATCCTTTCAAAATTCAGAAAACTATGAAGCGTAAGTAAAAATTATACATACCCTTTGCTGTACAGTTTAGAAATGATATTTGAAGAACCTCAGACTCAAAATGATATGACGGATTAGAGTTTAATCTTCATAGTTCCTGCTTTAGCCCGTCTAACAGTTAAGGCATGCAGCACAAGGGGTAGAAACGTGGACTTTGGGGTCAATGGACAATAGTTTGTGTGTTAGTTTTCTGTTGGCTGCTGTAACAAATTATCCCAAGTTTAGATGCCTCACGAATTTATTATCTTACAGTTCTGTAGTTCAGAGATGCAAATTGGGTCTCACTGGGCTAAAATCAAGATGTCAGCAGGGTTGTGATCCTTTCTGGAGGATCTCTAGGGTAGAATCTGTTTCCTTGCCCTTTCCAGCTTCTAGGACCACCTGCATGCCTTGACTCTCAGCCCTCTTCCTCCATCTTCAAAGCCTACAACAGCAGGTCAAATTCTCTCATCTCATACAACTGTAACCTCTTCTTCTGCCTCCCTCTTCCATATTTAAGATTCCTTAAGATTACACTGGGCTTGCCTGGATAATCTAAAATAATCTCCCTATTTTAAGATCTGTTTATTAGCAACCTTAATTCCATATTCTACCTTAATTCCCCTTTGTCATGTAAGCAAACACATGCACAGGTTCTAGTGATTAGGACGAGGACATCTTTACCTAGCACGGGTTGGCTTCTGGCTCCACCAGCTAACTAACTGTGATACTATAAGCAAATTACTCAAGAGCTCTGAGCCTCAGCTTTTTTACCTGTGAAGGGGAATAATGGTGTCCCTACATGTGGGACTAGTCTCCGGCTTCCATGCCAGTCTCATCTCATACCTCTCTGCTCACACATTTTCACTTTAGCCCTCATGCGTGCTTCTCATGCTGCTTTGAACATCTGCTCCCTTTGCCTGAAAACATCTTCTCTCCCCACTTTGCCTGCTTTAACTCTAAATTATACTGCTAGTCTCAGCCATGTCACTTCCTCAGGGAAGCCTTCCTGGCTTTACTAAGTCAAATCCGCCAATTATATATGTAGAGGGCACCTTATGACATACCCCTTAAGACAATTGTCATTGTACTTTTTGAAGGGTGATTTTTGGATTATTGTTTGTCTCCCCCACTAGTCTGGAAGCTCCCTAATGGTAAGGAGGACCATGTGTGGTTTTGCTCACCATTACATACTCAGCAACCATCATGGTGCCTGGCACATTAAAAGGATGTTTAGAAAAATGTGTTGGATGAGTAATCACCAAACTGGGTTGGACAATTGTAAGAGACAATGGGCATAAAACACTTAAGAGAAATATATTAAAGTTTATTATTTTGTTAAATTTAAATAAAAGCCCATAGTAGTTTGTCTGTGCTACAGAGAAATGATTGCTTTTCCATCGCAAAACATAGTGGAAGAGCAGAAAATAAGTAAGTCCTTCAGAATGGCATAATAAAGTATACATGAGCTCTGAAGACAGACAGAATTACATTGGAATCCCAGCTCTGTCACTTACTAAGCTGTTTCTTTGAGTGAGCTACTTTCCCTCGCTGATCCTTGGTCTCTGTGAGGGTCCTTTTGAAGACAATCCCATAAGCTCTGTGAGTGGTGGATGCTAGTCATGTATCTGGCCTTAGAATTAAGGTATAAAGTATCGTGAGTCCTACTTCTAGCATGAAGTAAATAACCAAGAAATCTCAGTGTAAGGAGAGATGGCATATGCCAGACAGGGATAAATAATGAAACAGATCAATCATTATTGCTGTATAGGAGTGCAATGATCTAGAATTTATTTTTTTCATGTGAGTTACCAGACTACAGCTTAATTTTGTCTCATATATTGGATGCCCCAGCATAATCAAGACACTCAAGATTGTTGGGGAGGGAATACTTTTTTTTTTTTTTTTTGCGGTATGCGGGCCTCTCACTGTCGTGGCCTCTCCCATTGCGGAGCACAGGCTCCTGGCACGCAGGCTCAGCGGCCATGGCTCACGGGCCCAGCCGCTCCGTGGCATGTGGGATCTTCCCGGACCGGGGCACGAATCTGTGTTCCCTGCATCAGCAGGCGGACTCTCTACCACTGCGCCACCAGGGAAGCCCAGGGAATACTTTAAATGATTTCCCCACCTCCATTCTGAGATTTTAAGATGTATGTGTGGAAATACACTGCCCCAAAGAGGTAGTATTTCTTTTCTCTCCTGAATATGGACTTGAGACAGGGATTGCTATTTTCTCCAAGTATCTATTCTCCCCTTCTTCCCAGGTAACAGACTCCCTGCAGGTTATCTGGGCATCTGGCCCGCCAGAATAAAGATTACATTTTTCAGTCATGTTAACTGTATCCTAGCTAATTGAACAGGGCAGCAGTTATGAGCACAACTTCAAGGAAATGTCCTTAATGGCAATCATCATACCCTTTTCATTCTCTTTTTCCTCCTTCCTGCTAACTAAAATGTGAATGTGAAAGTTGGAGCTAGAGCAGCTATCTTATACCTTGAAATAGAAATTGCATGTTGAGGTCAGTGGAGCATAAAATAGAAAGATTCTGGGGTCCTGATGACCTTGGATCCTCCTTGCAGCCTGGGAGCACTTTTTCTTTAATGTAAAAAGAAATAAAATTTTATTTTCTAAGCCCCTGTTATTTTGAGGTTCTGTCACAAACAGTAAACCTAATTTTAACTAATGCAGTGCATTTTCAAACTAGACTGTAAAGTCCTTTGAGAAGGGTAGATTTATACCTGGTTTGTTCAGGTTGAAAGATTTATGGACTTCGCAAAGTATTCTCATGTGGGAAAGCAAAATGTCATCAGTAGCTGTTGTAATAGGAGCCTTTCCTTTGCCAAATCTCCATGGAGTGTAATTATAAGTAATTTTATTCTCTCTCTCTCATAGCACCTTCAAACCCACTCGCTGGGATTGGTTTTTGTCCTCACCTAAACATAACCTTAAGAGACCCAATATTCTCCCCATCACTCTTAGGAAAACATGTGTAAAAATAATCCCTTTGTTTTGTTTTAAAGTCCTATTGGGAATTCCCTGGTGGCACAGTGGTTAAGAATCTGCCTGCCAATGCAGGGGTCACAGATTCGATCCCTGGTCCAGGAAGATCCCACATGCTGTGGAGCAACTAAGCCCATGAGCCACAACTACTGAGCCTGTGTGCCACAACTATTGAAGCCCATGCACCCTAGAGCCCACACACTGCAACTACTGAGCCCACACGCCGCAACTACTGAAGCCCACTCGCTCTAGGGCCTGCGTGCCACAACTACTGAGCCCACACACCTAGAGCCTGTGCTCCGCAACAAGAGAAGCCACCGCAATGAGAAGCCTGCGCACCACAACGAAAAGTAGCCCCCACTCACTGCAACTAGAGAAAGCCCATGCACAGCAATGAGGACCCAGTGCAGCCAAAAATAATAAATAAAACATTGAAAAAAATTCTAAAAAAAACCCAAAGAAAAACAAAAAATACCTATTGATAACTTTTGGAGGATGCTGGAAAACCAATTTATTATTCTGTAAACTGCAAAACAAAGGGAAAGAATAAAATATTCTTCCTATTTTTCCTGAAGAGCCATATCTCAGTTTCGTAATCAAATATTTAATGAAGGAGAGTCCTTCTTTACAGAAGAATTCCAATGAATAAATTAAGGAGTGATAGAATATCACCATTTTGCAATCCTAATAATGCATAATGGTTTTAGGCAATGCTCATCAATGGCTGCTAAAATCATTACGTGAAGAGCCAATAGGAAAATCTATAATTTATTTATTAGACTGATAGCATTGTAACACATTGATCAATCTTAACAGCAGGAAAGGAGAGACAATCAGACATTATGTATTTCCTGAAGTGATGCAATAGGAAGTACACAGAAGCCTTTTGCCAAAAGAAAAAAAAAGAAAAAAATCAAACAATCTCATCCAACCTCTAGATCTAAATTCAAGTTTGCAGGAAATACAAGAGATAAAGGAGCATGACAAACGACAGCATGGAGATAAGTTCAGCATACAGTGGACCCTCTATATCTGCAGGTTCTGCATCTGTGGATTCAACCAACTGTGGGTCCAAAAAAAAAAATTCCAGAAAGTTCCAAAAAGCAAAACTTGAATTTACTGTGCACCAGAAACTATTTGCATAGCATTTACAGTATATTTACAACTATTTATATAGCTTTTATATTGTATTAGGTATTATAAGAAATCTAGAGATGTTTTAAAGTTTACAGGAGGATATGTGTAAGTTATATACAAATACTATGCCATTTTCTATAAGGGACTAGAGCATTTTGTATTTGGGGGGTCCTGGAACCAATCCACCATGGACACCTCGGGTCTGTACCCAAATCCCTAAAGACAACTGACCCCATGTCTGTAACAAGTAAGTCAGAGGGAGAACCCATAAGATTAAAAGAGACTTTAAGAGCCATATCAAGCATGTGCTGATTTTGTTTGGATTTATATTCAAACAAATCAATTATATAAAGACATTATGAGACAGTTGGGAAATCAGAACACTGCATATTTGATGACTAAATTAATTTTTAAGGCACGATAATGGCACTGTTGTTATTGTAAAAGAGTATTGTACACAGAAACATGCAGAAATAATTATTGATAAAATAACAAAATATATGAGATTTGCTTTGTTATAATCCAGTGGAGGGGGAGAAATAGGCAGGGCAAGAGATGACAAATTTTTGGCTGAGTTGACAGTTGAAGCTGGGTGATGGATGGGTTGGTGGTTCTTTATTCTCCTTACATTGCTATATGTTTGAAATTTTTCATAATAAAAGTTAAGAAAAAGGCCTGTCCAAGTCAGTCTAATAACAAAGACTCCAAACACATATTCAATTTAATGCTTTTCCTCAACCTAAGCAGAGGTCTGGTACAGGCTT